AAAGCATTAGGAAATGCAGTTCAATCTGATCACTTCCTAAAGTATTTAAGAAAACACAATCAGAGCTGTTACTGGCAATAAAGTTTGATTCTAGTTGTTAGAATAGAAAGAATACTGCAATACCCACAAAATTACAATCAAACCAAAATAACACAATGAAGGAAAAATGTTCTAGTAACCTACTAGAAGTCAATAGAAAGTTTTGGTTTTTAGGTGATTTGTGATACTTGATCATGAACCGATACTTTCTTCAGAAAATAAATTATAGTGTAACATAAATTATATTGTTCTTAAACACCAATATTTTATACATTTCTCCTTTAGCAGATAAACACCACAACTTCCTAAACCCAAAAGCAAATATAGCTCTTTGCCTTAGTTAATTCTTGTCAACTGCTGCAAGGGAAACCATACCTTGGGTTTTGTTGTGTCAAGTTAAAAAAAAAAACCCGAACATGAGTTCGATGCTAGCTCTTGTGAAATTTTTACTCATGATTTTAAAACGAAGAAACTATTAGATGACAATTTTTTCAATGAAAAAAAGCAGCTATCAAGCATAATGCCACATTCTTGCCACCATATGAAATCTTTTAAGCAAAGAAATCTGAGAATAAAACAAAAAAGCCCTAACCCATTGCTTTTACTTAATGCACTTACCTGATAGAGCTCTTCTAAATTGTACTTAATTGAAGTACTGTTCTGGATAGCTTCTACAGCTTCTTTCAGTTTTTGCCAGGTTTCATCTGTGTAGTTTTCAGGCAATTTGGGTTTATCTTTAAAAGAAATTATATGAAGTTTAAGTATGTATTTAGATAAGGCAGAACTTTTTACAGAAATGAAAAGGACGTAGCTTTGAGGGGAAAGAGGTATGGGCTGATGGCCCAACTTTTAATTTATACTTGCCTCAAAAGAAAGCATTTGCGTAAAAGCAGTGTTTTATTCACGTTTGAAAGAATAACATATTGAAGAAATTCAGCATTGCTCTTCACAGACACACCACAGCACTTGTAGCCCAAACAGTGCCTGTGGTTTTCAAATACTACAATCCTGTGCTTGAGCAAGAATGGCTAAAACCATCAAGAATGATCTATACCTTCATTACACTCTCATCACCAGGCCGGAAGAGCCAAAAGAAAGGAACATAAAAGGTGAAAATGATGCATTAAAATATACATGGTGGTGTGTATCTTAGTTTTTAACTTACTGCTCATTAATTCTACTCTGTATTAACAGTTGGAAAGAACTCCTCAAAAAATGCTCATGGAAACACTGTAATTATTGTACAGGCCTTACGGTCCCCAAGGAAAACTTGTCAATTTTAAAGGCATCCATTTATGTTTCTTTTGGGTTTGGCCAGTGGATATTTTTTAGAGTTAAGCCTCTTTTAATGTTTGAACAGCTCCAGACCTGACCTTCCCCATTTTTTTTCTGTCTCTTTTCTAGAGATGCCCCTGCTTTGCAGCACCTTCAGCAAGACTAAAGCATTTACAACATACTAAGATATTCTCCACGTCACATCTTCAGAATATAAGAACTATTTTGAAATTTTATATTCTTGTAACTATCTAAAATGAATATTTTTGTTCTAATAAGCACATTCCCAAATGGAGAAGATAGAGGAAGAAAATCTGAGGAGGAAGATGACACCTGCAGATTCATGCTACCAACAGGTCAAACTGGTCCAGAGATTATACTCTATTAAAATTGACTTTTACACACCTAAAAGTAAAAACCAAATTTTAAAGTGTTATGATTTCCTAAGAAGTAACTCACCGAGAGAAGCAATTATTTTGTTCTTCCAAGCACTTCCCTACAATATTGACAATAACCCAAAACTGGCTTCATCATCTGTATCTAGAGACAATTGACTATGGACTTGCCTATTTTCGCAAGCAACTCCTGAGTATGCTGCTCAGCAGTCAACACCAAGGTTATGGATTTCAGGAAGTTATTTAAGTTGTAAAGGATGTTACTGCTATCACACTAAGATAAAGGCAAAAATCTTAAGATTATTATTCAGTTTAGTATCTGAGAGTAAATAAAAAGCAAGGCTGTCAGAATGCCAAGACATCCTTTTTAAGCAAGTGGCTCAAATACCAATTCATAAGCAGTGATGATCACAGCACCATGTAATCCATGACATTTAACAGGTATTTTAAACGTGAGATGTTAACTTCCCTTAAAGATAACAGTGCACAAGCAACTGAAGAGCAACCTATAATGCATCATAGGTTTGTATTTTAAAATGATCAGTCAAATTAAATTATGATGCTGTGATAAATGGAGAACATTTTTGAGAATTGGATCCTTAAAGCAAAGCATTACAGTGTGATCATGAATTCCTGCAAAACATTACAGTGGGTCAAATAACCCTAATCCTTACCTAATGCAATGTGTCCACATAACATTTGTGTCAATTGTGTATTTAGAAATTTTAATTTCGGTAATATCTTTCACCCCCTCCACAAACCCAAACACACCAGGAGAAAGAAACAACCCAAGAAAGCAAGGTAGTGGACTATTTTGGAAGACAGCAAGAGGCAGGAAATAAAAAAAGCCTGTGATAGCCTCATCTTTGTAGGGAAAAAATGGCAGCATTTTAGCTAAGCTTTCTGCCTACCTATTTGTATTTTTGTTTCTTAGAAAAAGAAGCAGCATCACATCAGAAAAGTTTAATTTCTCTACTCCACCTTGCTCTCCAGTAACACTACTCAAAAATCTCAAACACTTGTCTGGAGAAAATTTATAAAATAACATAAACCTGTAAAGTAAGAGTAAGCTAAGACAAAGAAAATATACTACAATTAAAAATTACAGTGAAGACATGACAAGGAAAAAACTCTGCAAAACTCTGAACTACCTACTTTAAAGGCAAGTGGGGAAACCAGAAAGGAAATCCACCATAATAGCCCGATAATCACCTTAGTTTCAACATTTAAAACTAAGCACAGGCAGATTATCCTATAAACAGAAAACACAGATAGAGGCTAGACATGCAGATTCAAGGCCAATTTAAAAAAAAAACAACACATTCTATGCAAAGACTTATCCTCCAAAACCAGGCTAAAACATAGACTAAGCCCTAAATCAGAATTACTAGAAAAGAGGTATCAAATGTTAGAAGTTTAAACAAAGGTGATTTACACACTTAGGTAGTTGTCAAGAGACAGAGTAAAGGAAGTTTGAAAAATAATTCCAAGCAGCAAAGTGTAGCTCAGGATGTGTACATGACCAGGCAAGCACACATCAGAAATCATTATTCCCCTTTACATAAGTATAGAAATGTTCACCACAGAAAAGCAATTCCCGCAAAACCTGGAGCTATTTGAAAGGAACCGGTTTTCAGGCTGAAAACAAAACACAAACTTGAATATCAGCTCCCCATAGGTTGTGACAAATTATGGCCTGTTACCTTTAAAGTTCTTGATCACTAATTTCTTAGCAGAGCCAGGTTTACTGTTGGCGAAACTGGAAACAGTAGAGGAGGCAGCTTTGGTCAGGCCATTTGCATGGTGCCCCACAGCCACTGACGAAATTAAAAGGCTTTTATTTTTAAGCTGTTGCTGGTGCTGCTGCTGAGAAGAAGCAGCAGGAGAGGAGGAGGAAGAAGACTCTTCAGCCATCTTCACATCGAGTCCAATAAAATCCACGGAGTCCTCAAAGCGCAGCTTCTTCTGGAGGTGATGGTTGGAGGAAGCAACCCCTGAGGAGGAGCACGAGGAAGTGGTGATGACAGAGGAAGATGATGAGGAGGTGTTTTTGGAAGGAGAAGAGGTGCAGGAGGAAATGGAATCAAATTCTTCTTTTTCGGAATTACTATTGCTGCTATTATTTAACTTTCTCTTCTTGCAGGAGGAGCTGCTGCTAGTGTTACCATCAGTGGCAGGTCTGACCTCCTGGGCTGCAGCTGGGGGGTTGGGGGAAGAGAAACCTGTGGGAAACATGAACACACAGAAGTGAACAGGCTGAGGGGCATCAAATCCTTGTGGTGTGACAAAGAGAGGGAGAGTTTTAGAGTCAGTCTCTGTTTGCTCTCTCTCGGGGGAGGTGGTCTTTCAACTCCTCCTTCTCATCAGTGGAGTCCTTCCGTAGTCCTTCTCCTTCTCGTTCTTCTTTATCGGAGGAATCACTTATCTCCTCTTGCCCTTTTCTTTATTACTTTGGTTCTTCTCGTAGTTTGTCTCTGTCTTTCTGCTTTTACTCCTTTCCCAGCGGAGCGTTTCCGTTCCTGCCTCTCGCCGCCCACCAGTTTCTTTCAATCCTCCTCTCCAGCAGCAGAATTCCCCACGGCTGCCCGCTCCCCCGGCTTCTCCTTGCGCTCCCCTCCTGCTCCGGCCGCCTCGTCTCCGCCGAGCAGCAGCGGGGAGGGCTGAGCGCGGCTCTCTGTCGCCTCGGCTCCAGCCCCTCGCCCCACACGCCTCCCGCTCTGCCCCGCGGCCGCTCCGCTCGGGCCCCGCTCCCCCCTCTCCGCTTGCGCCCGCGCTCCCTGAGGGGGGACGGCCCGGCCGGGTTGTTATTGTCACTGCACGGCAGAGGGAGCGCAAAAATGGCGGCGCATCCGCCCGCCGTGCATGACGGGGCGCGGCGCACGGAAGCGCGGCCGGGAAGCGGTGGGACCGCCTCAGGATCCTCCCCGGGACCCGCCCCCACCGGAACTGATCGGGGCTCGGTGCCCCCCGCGCCGGCCTGGGGCCGCCCCCTGGGGCGGGAGTGCCGGGCCCGGATACTGGGGTCTCGCCCTGTTTGGCCCGGCCGCGCCTCAGGCTCGCC